TGCAATTTAGGGTACACACATAGCAAACACTTTCTGTCAATTGAGTAATAAACAGAACTCTCTGCGTGTCACAGAAAGAGGAAATTTTTTAAATGTATGCTAGGGTAAAGAAAAAGAATAAATGAGACACTATTCAATTTTTTTTAACCTATTGCATTTTTTAAAAATATTTATTTTTTTAATTGTAATTGGACACAATATCTTTAATTAATTTATTTATTTTTATGTGGTGCTGAGGATTGAACCCAGGGCCTCGCCCATGCTAGGGCAGCACTCTACCGCTGAGCCACAACCCCAGCCCTTGATCTATTCCATTTTGAAATGTACTTTGACACAGAAGTAGGGGGGAAAAAAAAACTGTCGAATTTTTTTTTTTTTTTTTTTTTTTTTTGGTACCAGGGATTGAACCCAGGGGTGCTTAACCACTGAGCCACATTCTCAGCTCTCTTTTATATTTTATTTAGAGACAGGGTCTCACTGAGTTGCTTAAGGCCTCATTAAATTGCAGAGGCTGGCTTTGAACTTGAAATCCTCCTGTCTCAGCCTCCCAAGCTATTGTGATTATAAGCATGCACTACCAACCATGCCCGGCCAAACTGTCAATTTAAAAGATTCATCAGGCTTTGTCCAGCTTTTCTATCATTACCTATGGTAAAAGAAAAGAACTGTCCTAAATCCACAAATCATTTTCAATGAAGCTTCAGTGCAGCTGTCATTTATAATTCAAAATCAACCTGTGTATGTCTGTGGTAAATGTTTTTAAAAATCAATAGATCAGGACTGTCTCTAAATTTAGAATGTAAGTTCCATGAGAGAGTTATCTTTAATATTTCATTCAATAATGTTTCCCAAGGACCTAGTATAGTGTCTGGCACAGAATAAGCACTCGTTGTAACATCACTGAATACTGCTCAAGATGGTCCAAATACTTTTTTTTTTTGAAAGAGAGAGAGAGAGAGAGTTTTAATATTTATTTTTTAGTTTTCGGCGGACACAACATCTTTGTTTGTATGTGGTGCTGAGGATCGAACCCGGGCCGCACGCATGCCAGGCAAGCGCGCTACCGCTTGAGCCACATCCCCAGCCCCCAAAATACTTAATATATCAATATAATGATGTGCAGCAGATACTCAAAGAAGATGAAGTTTTTTGACATCTTGACATGATCACTGACATAGCCTTCACAAAAATGTTTTCATAAATCAACAAAAACTTATATTATATCTACACAATCAAACCGACACACATATTAAGAAATAAACCATTTACACAAGGGTCATTAAGGTTTCAAAACCTTAAAGCTGGGCTGGGATATAGCTCAGTTGGTAAAGTGCCTGCTTTGCCTTGGGTTCAATCCCCAGAACTACCAAAAAAAAAAAAATTTAAATATGCTGGGCGCAGTGGTGCATACCTGTAATCCCCCGGCTCAGGAGCCTTAGGCAGGAGGATCGTGAGTTCAAAGCCAGCCTCAGCAACAGCAAGGTGCTAAGCAACTCACTGAGACCCTCTCTCTAAATAAAATACAAAATAGGACTGGGGATGTGGCTCAGTGGTTGAATGCCCTTGAGTTCAATCCTCGCTACCAAAAAAAAAAAACTTAAAGCTTACCAAGAAGTTAGCAAAACACAGAAATCAACAGTACAACCAAACTTTTCAGCAAGGACAAACTCTTGCACTTTTTCCAGACAATCCAATTCCAAAACACTGGATGTTAAAAAAAAAAAAAAAAAAAATTTCCTTGTTTGTTTAATTAATTAAGTCAGGTGTAATAGTGGTGGATGTCTGCAGTCTTCGCTACTCAGGAGGCTGAGGCAGGAGGATCACTTGAACCCAGGAGTTCAAGACCAGCTTGGGCAATACACAATACAGTGAAACCTTTTTCAACAAAAAAAAAAAATGCAAGACACAATGGCACACACCTGTGATCCCCGAGACTAGGAGGCTGAGGCAGGAGGATGATAAGTTACAAACCAGCCTGGACAACTCAGCAAGATACTGTCTCGAAATAAAAAATAAAAAAGGACTGGGGATCTGGGGATATAACTCAGAGATAAAACAGCCCTAAATTCAATGCCCAGTACCAAAAAATTTTAAAAACTTAAGAATTTCATTTTTCCCAGTATTATAAAGCTCTAACTTTCCCTTATCAGTTGACCTAACTATGCCAAAATACCAATAAGCTATATACTTCAGAATATTCCTAAAATTGCTATACTGTTGCTGTTTGTTATTCATACAAGTGCAATGTAAATATTTAGGAAATTGGTACTTGTAGTTTTCTCTGTAAAAAGCCATCATGAAACTTCACTGTGAATTAAGCTGTGTTTCGGCCCTTTTTATAGGATTACTCTTTCAGCCCTTGTTTACCCACTCACAAAAACCTGTAACTAGTAACTTTCTTCTCTGTTGTATGTCACAAGTTTTCTCTTCTATATAATGAGGGACCTGGATTAAAACAGTAGTTCTCAATTTTTATTTATTTATTTATTTGTGGTGCTGGGGATTGAACCCATGGCCTTGTACATGTGAGGCAAGTACTCTACCAAGCTATATCCCCAGCACTCAACATTTAAAAATTAGGAGAATCAGTTGAAAGCTACAAATGACCTACCCATAAAAATGCAAACACATAAAATTTTATGAAAAAATATTTATAACAGCAAAAGGTAAGAATCAACCTAAATGTCTACCAATAGATGTACTCAATGAAATTCCATTCACTGTAAGAATGAAAACATTTTCTATATACTGATATGTAAAGATTTTCATCATGTGTTGTTAAGCAAAAAAAGCAATTCACAGAGTATGTAAATACAACCTTTTATCTAACAGGGACAAAAATCAGTTATTCTTGCATTTTCTGTAGAAAAATAAAGAAGAATCTTTGATGGAAGTGGGAAGTAAGGGGTAGGAGGATATCTTTTATTGTGTACGTTCTCATACGTTTATTTGAATCATGTGAATGCATATTATTTTAAATTAAATTTTTTAATTAAAAAAATACTGTATAGGGCTGGAGTTGTAACTCAGTGGTAGAGCACCTGTCTAGCATATGTGAAGCACTGGGTTTGATCCTCAGCATGACATAAAAATAAACCTATCAAATAAAGGTATTGTGACCATCTACAACTAAAAAACAATTTTTTAAAAAGATACTGTATAGGAAGAACTTCAGTATATTCAGGAAACCCACTGAAGCTAAAAGATAATTCCCAAACCTCATTCAGGAATATATTTCAATCCTTTATGACAATTTTTTTAAAGACAATAAATTTGCACAAATTAGCAAGCCATACTTCCTTTAAGTGATTCAAATTTCAGACCTGATACTTCTGTAGTGATTTCCAGGCTTAGAAAATAAAATTAAAAATTTCTAACTGCCCGCATGGTGGCCCACGTCTGCAATCCCAGAGACTACGGAGGCTGAGGCAGGAAAATCAAAATCAAAGCCAGCCTCAGCAACTTAGCAAGACCTAAGCAGCTCAGTGAGACCCTGTCTAAATAAAATATTTAAAAAGGGGCTGGAGATGTGGCTCAGTGGTTAAGTCCCTGAGTTCAATCCCTGGTATCCCCCCCACCAAAAATAAAAATCTAACCTATTTGACCACACCATATAGTCAATAGTTCTGATAGGAAGACCAAACAAGTACTATCTTATATTTTGACCCTAATCTCAAAATCTGAAGCAAATTAACTGAGCAGGAATTAGATGGATCTGAATTTTCATCATTAGTTAAGTTACTCAACTTCTCTGGACCTCAGTTTCATTTATACAATGGAAATAAAAGTCCCTATCTTATAGGGATGTTATAACATTTAAAAGGAATAACAAGGAGCATTGAAAATAAGATGTAGGGCTGGGGATGTGGCTCAAGCGGTAGCGCGCTCGCCTGGCATGCATGCGGCCCGGTTCGATCCTCAGCACCACATCAAACAAAGATGTTGTGTCCGCTAAAAACTAAAAAATAAATATTAAAAAAATAAAATAAGATGTAGATCCCCCTCAACCCAAGAAATCAAGGCAAGGTTTCCTAGAACCGTGGCAGGTGTTTCTGACCAGTTCCTGAAACAGACTGCTTTTAGGAACCCGTAATTTCTAGGGGCTGCCCTTTCATACACAATGCTTCCCTTTCCCCACTTAAAATAAGATTTGTGTTTAACCTAGGACTCTATCTCAAAGCTCAGCACCAATGATTGGTAGGCTATTGATGATAAGAAAGGAAAGAAGTTAAGGCAAGGGTCCTGCAACAAACTTTTCAACTGCCAGGATAACAGAAGAAAACAAACATTGCTAAAGAATTAGCAGCGGCCCGCAGCCAACCAATCTTCATTTCCAAACCTTTTAAACCCCACCCAGCTTTTTTGTGGAGCACTACTGGCTCTTATTGTTATAATTAGCATAAATATAAATAGCTGTCAATTATCGCTCCCTCATTATACGCCATGCTCTTGTGCTAACCATGCACTTTTCGAGATGTTATGAAAAATTGCACGTGGGCTTATTCTCCAACACACTCTGCTCTCAAATCTAAAAATCTTCTTTCACATCCCCAAATTCAACCTGTCCCCTAAACTCCAGCTACTCCACACCCCTGGCCGAACCACTCAGGCCCAAGACCCACATCCCTCCAAGCAGCAAGACCTCAAGCTGTTGATCCACCACTAAAACCAAGTGCTTCTGCGATTCTCCAGGGCCCCTCCCCTCCACACGCTAATTCCAACCTGTCCCTAACTTGTTCCAAGAATTGTTTCCCTCCAAACTTATGACGTACGTAAGATGCGAGGTCTCCTCACTGCCCCTCCAAATCCAACTTGTCCGTAGTTCATTCCAAAGTTCAAAATTCAGAAACATACTACACCTGGGCAGAGCCCAGTTGCAACTCCATAAGAACTCTCCACAGCCGCCCGAGTGGGGCCCGGGACTCACCACCCCCTAACCAGGCCAGGCCACAACAGCCGGGCAGTTCTCCAGACCCCTAGGGAAGGAGGGGAAGCTCCACCTGACTCCGCGGGTGCAGCGCGAGGTTCCTGCTCCGGCCTGGGCCCCGCAGCGGCCGCGCCCCCGTCCCGGCGCGGGCGGCAGCGCTCTGGCTGGCCGCGGCGGGCGCGCTCGCCCAGCACCTCCGAGTCGGCCTGGCCGTCGTCGCGGGCTCGACGGCGGGCCCAGCCCGGGCCGCGGGCGCGGCAGCGCGGACAGCCCGGGCCCGCCGCGTCGGCGGCGCGTTGGGCGCAGCCTCGGCACAGCGAGTGGCCGCACGGCAGGGCCGCCGCTTCCCCTGGGGTCTCCAGGCACCCGGCGCAGCTCGACTCCTCCGGCAGCGGCGGTGGCGGTGGCAACACCAACAACGCAGGGCCAGATCCCTGACCCGGGGCCCCACTCTTCGTTGCCGCCATCTCGTCACAGCGGCCCCGCCGGCCCCGCCGACTCAGAGCCGCCGCTGCCGCCGCGGAAGAGGCCCGAGTACTCGGACCTGCCGCCGCCATCTTGTTTCCCGTTTGAAGGGAGAGTCCGTTGCGAGGGAGAAGAGTAGAGGGCGGGGCAATGCGCGGCGGGCAGCGTTATCTGCATATTCATGAGAGGGCGGGGCTCCAATTGGCCAGGAAAAGGTTCTCCCTCGACCTGATTGGTCGGAGGGGGCACCTCATTAATATTTATTAGTCATTCTTTATATATCCGGGCTTTAGCCTCGCCTTCCATAATCTTGGCAGTTTCCTACTACTGAACCCAATGAGGATGAGAGCTGGAGGGATTTATTTGGAAATTCTAAACTTTCTGAAGGAATTACACTTGTTCTTCAATACCCTGATAACAGGTTAAAGTGAGTGGGGAGCCTGTGAAGTATCCAGAAACCTGCCTTAGTACTTTATTTGATGTGAGGGCCTGTGCTTTCCCGTAAGGATTATGGTGATTTGTGACCAAAATGAGGCCTACCATGACGAGTGTCTTCAATTCAGTAACTGACTGCAGAGAGTAACAACCTCTTGTCAGACCTCATCTCATCTTCTGTCTCCATTTCCCTTAAACTCTCCTCCCTTGACTGGCAAAACTACACTTTTCCATTCCCCCCCCCCCCCCCCCACACCACCACACACACACACCTTTAGCTCCCTCTCCTTCCTTGAGTAATCTCTATATATCTCTATCTCCCTCTTCTTCTCCCCCCCCCCTCTCAGCTTAAATGCAAATGTTTCTCCAGGCTCAGGACTCCACCCCTTCTCTTCTCACTCTGCAAGCTCCCCTGGTTTACCTTGCCCCTTTCTCCTGAAACTCACAAACTGTTATCTGCAGCCCAGACCCTGAGTCCAACCCTGCATATTCAGCTGCCTGATGGAAATATCCTTGGAGGTCTGCATCCTTCATGTACAAAACTAATGTCACTGTCTTCCACCCTCCTTTCAAAACAGCCCTTATTTCCCTCATTCTGTTAAAAGTCCCATCCTCCCAGGTCCTCAAGCTCTAAACCTGCTCATCTTTAACTTCATCCTCATCTTTTAAAAGATTAAAAAGTAATCTTTTTAGTTACTTAGTCCTGTCAGTTTCCCACTAAAATGACTATTTTCCCACCTATTCCCTCCTCTTCATCCCACTCCCACTACCCAATCATCGTCTGTCCCCTAGATTATTGCAGTAGCTTCTATTGATAGACTCCCTTCCCATAGCTTCCTTTCCTCTAATCCATCCTCCACAGCTCTTAAAAGTTGCTTCCTAAAAGCCAGCTCTAACCATGCCATTCCTGCTTGGGCTAGGGTGAGGTGCTCAGACTTTGATGTCAGTTCCCTTTCTGGATGCAAAGGGTATGGGGAAAATGGCTCCCCTCTGATAGAGTTCTACAGCAGAGTCCCACTCTTTGCTTTCTTTGCCCTAACACAGATTTTGGAGCAGGAAGACATTATATAAATGGCATTTCCTGTTGGGAATCTTTATAGAAAAGCAGAAGTTTAGAAAAGAGAACAAAATTTTTTAAAAAAAGCAACTTAATGTAATTAATAGAAGGCATCAGAGGCCCTGGGTTTCCATGAGATTGCCCAGAGCTGGTGGCAAATCAGTCCAATGACGTGATTGGTCAAAGTCAGAGAGCAGAAATAAAAGATGGATTCTCATGATGAGAACCAGATGGCTAAAGGACACTCAAGAATTGAAGAAGGGTCAGTGAATAATTGAAACAAATATTTGTGTGCACAAAGGCCCAGAGACAATCCTGCCAGACACAGAAGTGTGGCCTTGGCTGGGGGACTTCCTCACTTTCTTCCCCACTTAAGGTTCTTAAAGACATTTTCCCCAGTTCTACAACGGAAGACCTGTGGTTCAGAGATCAAGCTGACAACCATTAGAAACAGGCCCTTCATGTGGGCTATTCATTCTTGATGACTTGGGCCTCTTAATCTGAAGGACCTGTTTATTGTTGGAGGAACTGAGCCACGACAGTGTAGCATACTTTCTTCAATACGAATGAAACCAGGAAATTTTCTTTTGCAGAACGGAATAGCAAGAGGCCTGAGTAGCACTAGACCAGATGCCAGGAGATCTGTGCTTGCTTCTGACCCTTTTCATTAACTGATGGTGTGATTTCAAACAGCTACCTCAGTCTCCTCATCTTTAAAACAATTCAGACACATAAATACACACACACTGTCTGTCTGTCTGTCTGTTTCTCCCAGCCTCCCAAGATCCTACCTCAGATCTACTGAACTCAAAAAAATAGATGGGGAGGGCCAGGATGTGCTATAAAAATTCTAATACATACTCCTATGAAATACCATTTTTTAAAAATATTTATTTTTTAGTTTTATATGGACACAATATCTTTATTTTATTTTTATGTGGGGTTGAGGATGGAACCCAGCACCCGCACATGCCAGGCGAGTGCGCATGCCAGGCGAGTGCGCTACCACTTGAGCCACATCCCCAGCCCTAAAATACCACTTTGTTAAGTTCAAAGGTCTATCCCAGCTCTAACACTCTAGAATTCTGACCCCTGATTTCTAATTCCTCTATGCTTTAGCAGTTGCTAAAGTAATGTTACTAAATCAGTAGTGGTAAGAAAGCAAGGCAAATCCTGATGAGAAAACAAAGGAAATGAGGATGAGTCTAAAGCTTTAACCTAGGAGCCTGGGATTGTGATCACAATTGACAACCGGCCAAAAAAAAAAAGGAACTACCAAGAAAGAGCAATATGAAAGAAGAGGAAAAATGGGACACGGTGGACATTTTGTTTTGTTTACCACCAGATCTAAACTCCTTCCTATTTGGGGAATACCCCTTTCTATGTAGTATCGATGACATGAGGGAAGCTGGAGCAGGGGGCTACTGCCTCTCCCTGTTCCCAGCAGCTAGAACATGACACAGGGCCTAGGCTCAGCAACAACCCCCCCCCACCCACCCCATCACTCTTGAATGTTCAGCAAATGGAACCTTCAGCAAATGATACACAGAAATAAGGGCTAGAAGCATAACCCAGAGAGTGCTTGCCTCACTTGCATGAGGCCCTGGGTTTGATTCCCAGCACCACAAAAAGAAAAAGAAAAAAAAAGAGATGATTTTAGAATTTGTCATAGCAACAGAGATAGTAGGTGTTCAACAGCAGTGACTCTTAGGTGAGCGTTGGGGTAAGGGGTGGTATCCCTATCGTGGTGATGGTGGCATGCCAGATTGTTCCTGAGGCAAGGATAGGGTTGTGATGCCTGCTACCTGCTGCCTGGGCCTTCCTAGATTATTGCCCCATTGCATATCTGACTCTCCAGGCTTTCTGTCAACTCTATATCCTTTTAGTAAATTCTTTCTCTACATCCCTCATCCCCATACTGGGGATTGAACCCAGAGCCTTGAACATGCTAGGCAGGAGCTCTGCCATTGAGCTACACCCTCAGCCCCCACTTTTTTCTTAAATCATTCACAGTTTCTTCATTTGCATTGCAGTACTCTGACCAAGATATTGGCTTGTTGTTTTTGAAGTGTCATCTGAAAATGCTTGTTAGGATGCTTTGTAGATTATAAAATGACACAAGAAGCTTGGGCCAACAGTCTAGAGCAAAAGTCCAAATAGCATGTGTTGCTCTTTTTTTCAGCCCCACTTGTACCACAGGCCACCAGAAGTAGGACTCACAGACTCGCTTTAGTGCAGGATGCCAACTAGAACAAATGGCAGTGCAGTCACATGTACCAGTGATTCCTCCAGCTGCTTTCAGTCTGCTACCCTTGCCATACTTTCTGAGAATTGCATTGCTGCCAGAATTCCCTGCCATCCTTCCCACAGTGCCTCTACCCAAATAGCTCTCCGTGGTTCCATACCACCACTAACCCTTCATCACTTCTCCTCCACATCACTGCAAATCTTCTCTCTTCCCTGCAGCTGGTGGCTCTAGCTTCTCTCTCCCAAATTGACAGAATCTGATGTGAATCAAGGCAATCAGTCTAGTTCCAGGTGGAACGGGCTTTTTCTCTTTGCAGGACCAAGAACCCTTCTGGCCAGCCCAGGTATTGCTGGTTACATTCTGAGACCTCACACATCTATGAAGAAAAGGGGTCAGACCACACCATGTGCCACTTCTCCTTCACTCCCCTTATCTCTTCAGGTAGCCTCTTCTTCCTGAGGTCTTCCTCCCTTAGGAGTTTTTCCCCTCGAGAGTTCACCCCTTCCTTTTGGGTTTAAAGATGCTTGCTACACTCAGTGATAGAGCACTTGTCTAACACATGTGAGGCACTGGGTTAATTCTCAGCACCACATAAAAGTAAATAAAATAAAGGCCCGTCAACAACTAAAAAAAAAAAAAATGCTTCCTACATTCTTACTATCCAGACATCTACAGTTCTTTCCCTTTTGTTTCAGAGGAAGAATTTGTCCTTTTATGAAAAATGAATCCCTCTAACCATGATTCTCACATCATTTTCCCAGCCTCCTCCAGACCCTTTCCTAATGCTGTATGAATACAAATAAGACTTGGTCTCTGCCTCCTCAAAATCACAGCCTAATAGAGAGGCAAAAATATAAGTAACTATAGCAGACTTTCAAGGGCTATAACAGATGTATACGAGATGTTACAGAAGCTGAGAGCAAAGGTGGGGGTATGGGGGAAGGTTTCACAGAGGAGGGGAGATTCAAGTTGTTTTGAAGGAAAAAGAGGTATTCACCAGGTAGAGACAGAGAAAAGTATTTCAGGTGGAAAGAAAACAAGAAGTAAGATACAAATGTATAAAAAAAAAGTTTGGGGTCTATATGGGACTGATTAAGGAATTCAATGTGCTAGAACATTGGGTTGGATTATGAAGCTAGAAAATGGGAGAAAATTTATTGAGCAATTACTATGTGACAGGTATCATACTAAGCAATAATATACCTATGATTTAAGCCCATAAAGTGAGTGTGTGGATATGTGTGTCTGCATATATGTTATACACACACACACACACACACACACACATACACACACATATACATACCAGGGTTTGAACCCAGGGGTGCTTAACCACTGAGCCACATCCCCAG